AGGGGATGGTGGGAGCCTGAAGGGATGGTGGGAGCTGAGGGGATGATGGGAGCTGAGGGGATGGTGGGAGCTGAGGGGATGGTGGGAGCTGAGGGGATGGTGGGAGCCTGAAGGGATGGTGGGAGCTGAGGGGATGATGGGAGCTGAGGGGATGGTGGGAGCTGAGGGGATGGTGGGAGCTGAGGGGATGGTGGGAGCTGAGGGGATGGTGGGAGCCTGAAGGGATGGTGGGAGCTGAGGGGATGGTGGGAGCTGAGGGGATGGTGGGAGCTGAGGGGATGGTGGGAGCTGAGGGGATGGTGGGAGCTGAGGGGATGGTGGGAGCCTGAAGGGATGGTGGGAGCTGAGGGGATGGTGGGAGCTGAGGGGATGGTGGGAGCTGAGGGGAAGGGAGACGGGGACGGAATCCAGAGACACGACGGCTGTCAGGAGGGGATAGATGGAAGGGAGGGACGGGCGCACGCACAGGGACGGGCGAGAGGGGAAGGATGGGCGGCAGGGGAGGGACGGGCGAGTGGGGAGGGACACGCGAGAGGGGAGGGACGGGCGGCAGGGGAGGATGGGCGAGAGGGGAGGGACGGGCGTCAGACATGGGAATCTGACTCGGGAATGAGACTCGGGAATCTGACATGGGACTCTGACATGGGAATCTGACCTAGGGATCTAACATGGGAATCTGAATTGAGAATCTGAGTTAGGAATCTGACTTGGGAAGCAGATTCAGGAATCTGCCCGCCCTCTCATCAGCCCTCGCTCACCCTCTCCCCCATCTCTCCCCGCCCTCTGTTACCCCACTTCTCTTCTTCTCTCCCCCTCTCTCTATGCACTCTCCTCCCTCTCTCCACGCCCTCGGTTACCCCTCTCTTCTTCCTCTCTCCCCCTCTCTCTATGCACAGTCCTCCTGCTCTCCTCGCCCTCGCCCACACCGTTCACCCTCGCCCACACCATTCACCCTCTCCCACACCGTTCACCCTCTCCCACACCGTTCACCCTCTCCACACCCCCATCCTCACGCGGCTCCGTCCCTCCCTCACCTTGCCATCCGTTCATTCTCTGCTCGTCCCCGTTCCCCCTAGCCTCGCCCTCCGTTCCCCCTAGCCTCGCCCTCCGTTCCCTCTCACCTCGCAATCCGTTCCCCCTCAACTCGCCATCCTTTCCCCCTCCCCTCGCCATCCGTCCCCCGTCTTCGCACCATCCGCTCCCCCTCACCCCTGTCAGTTCCCTCTATCCTCGCCGTCCTTTCTCCCTCACCTCGCCATCCGTTCCCCCTCGCGTCGCCTCCCCCTCACCCCTGTCCGTTCCCCTTAGCCTCGCCGTCCATTCCCCCTCTCCACGCCATCCGCTACCCCTCACCCCTGTCCTTTCCCCCCATCCTCACCGTCCGTTCTCCCTATCATCGCCGTCCGTTCCCCCTCTCCTCGCCATCCGGCCCCCCTCATTTCGCCATCCGTTTCCCCCTCTCCTTCCTATGCGTCCCCCGATCTCGTCGCTATCCGTGGCCCCCCGTGCCGCTTTAACGCCGGCTATATACATGCGTTTCGTCACGGGGCCTTATGGTAGGTCTTACCCTAGATTCGCGTCGCAAACTACGGCTTCCTTGTCTTGTTTACGCTGGTTTTAGCTTGTCCCTCTGTGAGTTGCGGTATGACACATATGGAGGTCGCCTACTCGGAGAATAAATCCGTCTCCCCGTAGTGGCATGAGTTGGTCGTCGATGCGCGGGGCGGTTTTTTTTATCTGACCTGTGCTGTGGCAGCTATGGGTTCCTACGCTTGTGTGACTACGAGATTATCTCCTCCTTAGAAACGTGAAGCACACCCATGGAGCTCTTGAACGATGGGTTCGAGGTTGTGGTCGCACAGAAACAATTTTGGTTGAGTTTATCAAAATAGAGAAGTGAATAAATGAGAGAGTGAGAGTACACAAAGATATACCTAAGAGTTGTACCCTCTAAGAGGTAACCCTATACAGTCTATACAAACATGACAAATACACATGTTTGACACACCCCCTAGACTGCATAGGGGAATGTCCTAAACAAGCAGCTCAGGGCGGCACTACTAGTCCAACCTCTGAGACAAGGGTCTGAGAGACCAGTCAAAAGGAGTACAGACAAGGCAAGAACAAGAGCAGGGCGGCACTACTAGTCCAGCCACTGGGAGAGGACACTCGTCCAGTCTGAGTATACATATAAAGGACAGTACAAAGTCAAGGTCCTAGCAAGTGAGAGGCTACAGGAACTAGACCAAGCTGTACACAGTGCCGCTGATGATCTTTAGGCGCAAGCGCCTTCGTAAAGATATCAGCCGTGTTGGCACCTGAGGCCAAGTGTACTACGCGAGCCTGACGTCGCTGCTGTAGCTCACGCAGGAGGAAGTACCGCAGCTGAATGTGCTTCGCTCTGCCCTCGAGTTTAGGCTCCTGACACAGGAGGATCATGGCCCTGTTGTCAGCGAACAGGACCGGGGCAGAGCTAGGCTGCTCACCTAAGTCAGTGAGCAAGAAAGTCAGCCAGCGGAGCTCCTTGAGGGGCGCGACGGGGCCTGGGAGGGGCGCGACGGGGCCCAGGAGGGGCGCTACGGAGCCTGGGAGGGGCGCGACGGGGCCCAGGAGGGGCGCTACGGGGCCCAGGAGGGGCGCGACGGGGCCCAGGAGGGGCGCTACGGGGCCCAAGAGGGGCGCGACGGGGCCTGGGAGGGGCGCGACGGGGCCCAGGAGGGGCGCTACAGGGCCCAGGAAGGGCGCGACGGGGCCTAGGAGGGGCGCTAAGGGGCCCAGGAGGGGCGCGACGGGGCCCAGGAGGGGCGCTACGGAGCCCAGGAGGGGCGCGACGAGGCCCAGGAGGGGCGCTACGGGGCCTAGGAGGGGCGCGACGGGGCCTGGGAGGGGCGCGACGGGGCCCAGGAGTGGCGCTACAGGGCCCAGGAAGGGGCGCGACGAGGCCCAGGAGGGGCGCTACGGGGCCTAGGAGGGGCGCGACGGGGCCTGGGAGGGGCGCGACGGGGCCCAGGAGGGGCGCTACGGAGCCTGGGAGGGGCGCGACGGGGCCCAGGAGGGGCGCGACGGGGCCCAGGAGGGGCGCGACGGGGCCCAGGAGGGGCGCTACGGGGCCCAAGAGGGGCGCGACGGGGCCTAGGAGGGGCGCGACGGGGCCCAGGAGGGGCGCTACAGGGCCCAGGAAGGGCGCGACGGGGCCCAGGAGGGGCGCTAAGGGGTCCAGGAGGGGCGCGACGGGGCCCAGGAGGGGCGCTACGGAGCCCAGGAGGGGCGCGACGAGGCCCAGCAGGGGCGCTACGGGGCCTAGGAGGGGCGCGACGGGGCCTGGGAGGGGCGCGACGGGGCCCAGGAGGGGCGCTACAGGGCCCAGGAAGGGGCGAGACGAGGCCCAGGAGGGGCGCTACGGGGCCTAGGAGGGGCGCGACGGGGCCTGGGAGGGGCGCGACGGGGCCCAGGAGGGGCGCTACAGGGCCCACGAAGGGCGCGACTGGGCTAGGGGGGTCGCGACGGGGCTAGGGGCACGACGGGGCTAGGAGGGAGGCACGGCGGGGCCAAGCAAGGGGGGCGAGCGGAAGCGGTAGGGGGGGGGGGGGGGGATCCTAACCTACGCGTGATACCATATCAAAATAGAGAAGTGAATAAATGAGAGAGTGAGAGTACACAAAGATATACCTAAGAGTTGTACCCTCTAAGAGGTGACCCTATACAGTCTATACAAACATAACAAATACACATGTTTGACAGAGTTGTGCGACCTCAGTTCTTGTCGCACCATATTCCACCAAAGTCGTTGGGGTGCTTGGTGCGTCGTGGCCCTCTCGCTACGTTTCAAAATGTCGCAAGACATGTTTTTTCGTTACTTTTCATGTGGAGTGCTCCAGTCTGGGTCTTTTATTCTGACCACAAAAAAACACAGTTTTCAAGAGCGCCCAAGGTGTGCTTTTTTAGCCTGTGGTTTTAATGCATGGCTGATCCGTTTCTAATCGTCTCGTATGCCTGCCGCATTAAAATAGATATTCATGGCGTATATCCACTGCCGCACCGTCACGTCTTTATTAGTTGGGTCGAAAGGAGCGGGTTGCTGATATCTTACGCCGCCACTTGTCGAGCGCGGGGTTGTTGCCGCTAGTCGTGCCAGCTCAACTGGCGACGGTTATTGCTCACCTGCCTCGCTTCGTGCATCGCCGTCCGGCTCCTCTGAGCGCCTTTCCTACGCCTGGCGAAGTCGTTGGTTCTCGTCGCGGAGGTTGTTGACGACGCTTGTCAAATTATTCAACTGCTCCATAATGCTTGCAGGTCCACAGTTTCCCGGGCAGACTTCGCAACAGTCGAGGTCGTCTGTTCCTCAACCGTCGAGTCTACCGGGGCCATGGCGGTCAGGACTGGGCAGAAGCTAGCGCACACGATGTAGTTGTTGACATAAAAATATTTACGATCGAAGACAATTGCTGTGCAGCTGTACTAATCCCCTCTGACCACCCTTAACTAATTAAACGGGGAAACGGAAGGTTCCTGGAAAGCTCGGGCTCTGATACCAGCTGTTATGATATAGGAAGTGTCAATGTAATATAACGTGAGAATACAAGGTCGCTATTGCAATGAAGGCACAAGGTTATATAGGGGTTGGTGTGCTAGGGCGATAACCTCGAAACGTGGGTAGGTTCAGCAATGTGGCGACAGTGCCGGACGCGACTCGGAAAAGGGTTTGGTTGATAAATGAGGCCGAACGTGACGAGCCAAGTTCGGGTGTACGCACTAGCGTACGACTCAGTAAAGAATGGAAATTCATTACATCTTCATTCTATGGTATCTCGGGTGAGTCGCGGAAATCGTTACAGACCAGCGACGTCCCTGAGTGGATAGCGAACCGTTTCATATAGATGTTTCGCAAGTGTGCTGTGTGACAAACAACGGACAGGCTGCTATTCCAGAGTACGTACCGAAGTGCAACTTCTGCTTTTTAGATTGGGAGGAAGGTGCGAGCCTAGTAGGGTCATTCCAGAGCTCGTGTCACGCCACGAGTCAGCCACAGCTGGGGCGATTTTCTCCTTGCCTTGGATTAGACGCGATAAAGCTCCTTCGCAGAGTCCGTTAGAACCTCCTATTCATCATTCAGGCACCCTCGCGCCGCCTGTCCGCCGCATGAGCTGACCATCGCCCTCGCAATGCACGCCCTCGCGTGGAAGCCGCTGCCCTCCGCTCACACGCCACCGCCGCTCGCTGCTCGCGCCGCATCCTCGCCCGCCCATAAGCCCTTCCCGAAGCCCACCGCTGAGCACCCGCGCGCCCGTGCGTGTGTGCGCACGCCTGCATCCACGTCCTACCGCTCCTCGCTCTGCTCCCCCGGCACGCGCTCTCGCCCCCTCGCCCTCCCGCACCCTGCGCCTTCGTCACCCTCTCCCCTTCGCCCTCCCCTCGCATCCCCCCTCGCCCATTCGCCCGCCGAGCCGCGCCACCGCCAGCCATGTCTGGCCGCGCGGGCCACCTCCGCCGCGCAAGCAGGCCCCAGCGACCAGAGCGGCGCAACGCCGGGGGAGGCCGCAGCGGAAGGGCCTTCCAAGCCTGATTCGTTAGGTTCGGAGCCGTCAGGTTCGGGTGGGAAGCGGTGGGGATGGAATTGGCGGGCGTGGCGCGGGCGCGAGTCGATGGGCGAGCGCGTGATGAGCGGCATCGTGAACAGCTCGTCCGCACCCATCGGCTCCTTCATCGCTCAACCCGCCACCGCTCTGCACCGATTAGACCCCCGGGTCAAACAGGTGCAGGCGCATGGTTAGAGGGAGAGAGTGCAGGAGTTGGATGGGGTTGAGGAGAAGGGGGGTGAAGGGGTGGAGGGAGCGAGGCACGGGCCGTGAACCCCTTGAATGGCGCATGGTGGCAATGATGCCGGCCCCTCACGCCTGCACACCCGGCCCTGCTTGCCATCCCTCCACGCTTCAAACTCCGCCCTGCCATCGCTCCGTGCCTCACCATCCCACCCCTTCTCCCACGCTCCTGCACATGCCCACTAGCACCCAGGTCAACCACCACCTCCTCCCCTCCCCCCCCTCTCTGTCAACCGCCCCCCCACTTGCAGCTGTGGCTATTAATGCTGGTGCTGCTGCCAGCGCGCTCGGGTCTGGAGCTGCGACTGTGGCTGTCGGCATTCCTGGTGGCCCTCACGCTCCTCGCGCTGCCTGCTAACATCGCACGGGTACGCGCCCACCGCGCACATGCGCCTTGCTATCCACTGCATCTCACTCTCTTGCCATGCAGTTCCTCGGAGCCCTGTGCTACAATTGCGCACCCTCTTCTAGCGCACCCTCTGCCAGCACACACATCTCAGTCCTTTTGCACCGGCGCCCTTCCCCGGGCGCATATCATCCCCTTTTCCCTTCCCCGGGCGCATATCATCCCCTTTTCCCTTCCCATCCCCCGCCCTGTGTGCCGTCGCCAGGCGCAGCTGTGGCGCTCGCTGCTCTTCGCGGCCTTCATCTTCGTGGGCCTCGCCTTCAGCACAGACGGCGTGCCCGCCTTCATGCAGCCGCGCCCACTGCCCCACGCGCTCGAGCCCCTCGCCCTCGCCGCCTCCTCTGCCGCCTCCTCTGCCTCCCTCGCGCTGGGCCCCCCGGCGTCGGTGGCTCCCCTGCTGCCGTCGGGGTACCGCTACGTGCTGCTGCAGCTGGGCCCACTGCTGCTCACACGTCGAGCCGCCAAGCTGGCCGCCATGGCGGCGTCGCTCTCCTTCATCGTAACGCCCCCCCCCCCCCCCCTCCCCTCCCCTCCCCACACCACACCTTACTGCTGCTTTTTAGCTTGCCTTGTTCCCCGCTCCCGGTGCTTGTGGCGTGCAAGCAACAACAGGCACGGCCTTAACGCTGAATGCCCCCACCATTGCGGCGACTGCACCCACACTCATCCGCCCCTTGTCTCCACTGCGCCACACTTGCACCACCTCCTGCCTCTACTCTCCCCCCCCTCGCCCCCTCAGGTGCTGCACGCTGCGGCCGTGAGTCTCATCACGACGAGCCCCGAGGCGATGGCGGGAGCGCTGCGGTGGGGCATGCGGCCGCTGGCAGGTGTGGGCGCGCGGGTGGACACGGCCATCCTGGCGCTGCTGCTGTCGCTGCGCTTCCTGGGGCTCGTCTTCGACGAGGTGCGCTCGCTGGCGCTGGGCGTGGTGGCGCGGGGCATCCCCTGGAAGCAGCTGCAGCCGCTCGCCACGCTCGACTGTGAGTGCCTTGCCGCTGTGCTGGGCATGCAGACAGTATGGGGCCATGATGATGCCCGGACGTGAATGGGCAGCATGCAACCTGACGTCCCATCCGCTGCCCTTGTCTCAACACCCCCTCTCCCTCCAGCTCTCCTGGAATGACCCGTTTTAGTGATTGCTTGCCTCTCGCCTACCGTCTCTGTTGGTTCCCTCATCCTCTCCCCGCGCTCTCTACATGGTATCCGCATGCTCCTTCTGTTGTTCCCGTCCGCGCCCCACCCTCCTCCCGGCCCGCCAGTGGTGCTGTCTCTGGCGGGTCGCCTCTTCCAGAACCTCTTCACCCACGCCGACCAGATCGCCCAGGTGCTGCTCCCGCTCCTCCCACCACCCCCTCTCGCGTTCTCCCTCCTCTCTGTCCGTCTCATGCACGCAGCATGCACCGTGTCCCCTGCCCTTCGCCACCAAGTTGGAAGTGCAGCTCGGTGACAAGCACCAATCACAGCACGCTGTCCTACCCTCTCCGCCTTCACATGCCGCATTGCCTCCCTTGCTGCACCATTCATGCACTCCCTCACTCTCTTCTCCACTCCATCCCCACCCTCCGTTCTCCCTCACTCTCTTCTCCACTCCATCCCCACCCTCCGTTTTCCCTCCTCCACTCTCCACCTCGCCCCCTGCCACTGTCTCTCCCCCATCTCCCCGCCAGGCCATGATCGCGCGTGGCTTCTCCGGGGACCCCGCGGTGCACCGCCTCTACTTCCTGGGCCACTTTGCGCTGCACGCCGCCGACTGGGCCGCGCTGCTGCTGCTCGCCGCCATCACCGCCGCCGCTGCTTGCTGCGGGCTGCTGCTGGCCGCGTGACACGGTATGGCATGGTGGGAGATGCGATGGGATGAGCCCATGGGCCGTGGCCATGCTGTGCTCACGGCAACATGTGACTCACGGAGTTCGTGAGGTATGGCTCGAGAGTCAAGACTTTCCAAGATGCATGTTTACGTGAAGGGTCTGGACTGGAGTGTAGAAGCAGCAGAGCAGCGGGCCGTTCACGTTCACGCACATGAACTGGTTGGCAGCGGGCCAACTGCGGATCCTCGGGTGTGCTCTCTCTCAGAATAACGCAATGACTAGAATGAGGCATACAGGGAGGTTTTGTGCTATGGTGCTGTACTCTCAATGAGCATGCACCTATCTAGCCTATAACCATATATAAATATATGTTGACACACCCCCTAGGCTAGACAAGGGGCAGTGCCTGGCAAGCGACACGCAGCCCAGGGTGGCACTACTAGTCCGGCTGCTGGAACCAGGGCTGACGTTTAAAAAAAAAGGCACTCTGACTGAGCCAACCTCCTAGAAAAAAAAAAAACTTTGAAGGGTCAGCCAGAATTTTGGCACTTCGAAATAGCAGAGTCCACAAAGTTGTTCAAATTATATAAGTTATAATTTAATATTGGCTTGGTAGGTTGTTACTGAACCTTTCTGTAGGGGGTACAAACCCCTCCTTGTACTCCCCTCTCTTCTAATCCAACCCCTTTTCTCTCCTCAACTTTCCTAGCACCTAAAACCTCTCGCCATTCTCATGGCTCCTCCTAGCTCCTAGCTAAACCTTGTGCCATTCTATGGCTTCCTAGCTAAGCTAGTTTCTGACATGGTATTAGAGAAGTTCGTTCCGCGTGGGCCTGCTCCTCGCGTTTCCGCTGCGTGCTCGTTTCTCTCTCTATCTCGCGCTGCCATGGCGGCCGCGTCAAGCTGCTGTGGCCGCGTCGTCGTGCCGCGGCGCCGCCGTCGACGTCCATGGCGCCCGCGTCCAGCTGCTGTGGCCGCGCCGTCGTGCCGCAGCTCCGCCGTCGCGTCAAGATGCTGTCGCGACGTGACGGCGCCGTCACGCTGCCGCGGCGTCTACGCGACAGCGCGCGGTCGGCGTAACGGCGACGTCGTGCTGCCGTCGCAACGTCGACGCCCCGCTGCGGCATCGACGCCGCTCCATGACGGCGTCGTCGGGCTGCAGCCGGCCGCGTGACGCTTGTGGCGCCGCTAGACCGGCCGCCCGCATGTCAGCCTGTGGCGCCCCCCCCCCCCCACCCCCCTCCTTCCCTTGTGCCCTCTTCCATTCCGCAGACGACGGCTGACTCCCGCCGGCCGTCCCACCGTCGCGGGGCCTGGCCACGTCACCGAGAGGTGCGGGTGCCGCCGCCGCTGCCGCTGTTGTCGAAGCCGCCGCCGCCGCCGCTGTCGCCGCTTGCGTCGGGGCCACGCAGCCGCACGCCGCCGCCGCTGCCGCTGTCGACACTGCCGCCGCTGCCGCCGTCGCCGCCGCAGCCCCTGCGGTCGACGTCGCCGCCTCACGCGCCGTGGGGTCGACCGACCTAGAGTCGCTGTCACTGTGGCTGGAATGGGGGTGCTAGGTTAGGGGGTGTGGGTGTGTGTGGGCATGTGACTACCAAGCCTAGGGGGTGTGTTCAAATTATATAAGTTATAATTTAATATAGGCTTGGTAGGTTGTTACTGAACCTTTTTGTAGGGGGTACAAACCCCTCCTTGTACTCCCCTCTCTTCTAATCCAACCCCTTTTCTCTCCTCAACTTTCCTAGCACCTAAAACCTCTCGCCATTCTCATGGCTCCTCCTAGCTCCTAGCTAAACCTTGTGCCATTCTATGGCTTCCTAGCTAAGCTAGTTTCTGACAAAAGTGACTAGTCTATTTTTCTCAGGGTCCAGAAATTACTACCGTAATCCCCCGTATAAAGCACCCTATGGTGTTAATAAAAATGCAGCAAAATTTTGGGCTGGGTGTAATTAAAGGCAAAAAAAATATAACACCCAGGAGTTATTGAATGTGCATATGGTTTTTATAATTGGAATTCAAGTGTGCTTGTTTCACCACATTCATTTGAGTCAGATACCCACTTTTGGTCATCTCATTGCATACTGGACGATATTCCCGATCTGCATGCCACATTGGCTGTGAGCATGTAGTGTCAGGGAGGATGCTGTCAGAACAACCAATGAGCACACGTTTAATTTGGCGGGACGCGCGAAAGTCGAGTACAGTCTCAAACTTTCGGATTTGTTTTCGTCGATTTTTTTTTTTCGTTCGGGCAGATTCGTCTCCTACCTAAGAGTGTAGCCTCTTCCCAGGGAACCTTCCCAGGCTCGCGAGCTACAGTGTCGCGAATTCTGACGCGAAATGTTTTAGTGCTGTTCCACAAGGTGCAACGTCAGGTTCAGCCTGCCGAGATTCATGGGCATGTTTCAAAACCTTTGTTCAGGCGACATTGTTTCCGACACGCGGGAATCTGTACAGTAAATTTTCGGCGCGAGCAGTTTTTTTTTGCGATTGAGCCGCGGAACGACGCAACACGAAATTCTGGCGTTTCCTGCTAGAAATGGAGATTCTAGTGGCAGGGGGTGTTCAAATGTTTTCACGTCCGAGAGTAGGGTGTTGTGTATATCCAGAAAAATTAAACACCCATACCCGCTCAAGCTACCCGGGGGAGCTTAATTCCGGCGGGTGTTTTATACGGGGGATTACGGTATCAAAGTGACTAGCCTCATGTAAACAAACATTGTGCTACTCTTGGCATGAGCCTACACTACTTCTACTACTACCATACAAACCAAGGAACCAACTACTCACTAAGAGCCACCTTGAATTCTGGCCCATCTACGGCAATATCATCATCAACTCCCTCGTCGTCAGACAGGAATGGATTGTCGACCATCCTTGGAGCATCATCCTCCGCATCATCACCACCCCCGTCCTCCTCAGCCCACCCCTCCCCCTACTCTGGCACCTCCCCCTCCCCCTTTTCTTCCCAAGTCGTCTCGGCTGCCTCCCCCTCAACCTCCAGCTCCTTCCCCTTGCGCTTGCGTTCCGCAGATGCGAAGACAACAGTTCGTGCAGGGCGTCTCAGCTTCAGACGCCAAGTCATGAGGGCTTTACTCCAGTTGATGCCATACAGCAGAAGCGAGATGGCCATGAGCTCGGAGAGGCGCGCGTTGCAAACGGTGCCACGAACCCACGACTTACGGTGATAATGTTATGCCTAGAGAAGCCCCTCTCGCACTCGACTGCTGACAGAGGCAGCACGACGCAAGCCTGCCATAGGCGCATCAGATTCGGCCGGCACCTGTTACGGGATGAAAACATCGGCGCACGAAAGGCACATAAGGGATTGCGATGTGTTTAGGCGGATTACGTACATGGTTTACATGGTGGTTGACAAAGGGAGCAAAGCTCTTAATCACAACTAGAGTGGAAGGCAACATAGCTCAACAAACACAAGTAGAGCGGAAGGCAGTGAAGCGTAAACATGAGAACCATGGACTTACTTGCTCAAGTCTGTCTTCGTGAGGTAGTTTGCCAGGCCCTGGTGGAAGCCCTCCACCTCGTGATGGTTCTGCATGATCGGTGCCCACGTCACCAGCTCGAACTCCGCAGCCTTCAGGTCGAATCCGGGCAGCCTGTAGTCGAAGATGCTACTACAGCCGAGCAGATACTCTCTTGTTTTCTTCTCGCTCTGCGCACGCTGTCTCGGCCACTTCGCCGCCACCCACAGCTTCGTCGGCGGCATCTTCCGCAGATCGTGCATACGATGTTGTACGTTGCTCGTGGTCTCCTTCGCGTGTTTCTGGCACAGCAAGGCGCACTCCGAGCAGCTGCTCCTGTACTGGTGCTTGTCGAGATGCCGCTCGTGCATCTTGTACGTGTGGGTGACCGTGTTCCCCTCCTTGTCGGCGCCACGCACTTTCACACGCTTCGACCCCCTGCGCCCGTACACTACTAGGAACGCCGACAGCCAAGTGTTTTCGACGCCGGCACCGAAAACCGCACTCGACATAACGGTGCCGTAGATCTCTCAGCGTCTCGTAGATGGCCGTTGACACCTCGGTCACGTCGACCTGCGATTTGGGGTGGGGGACACACAGTGACAGAGAAACAGATGAGATATTAATACAAATAGAGGAGGAGAACACCACCATCGCAGCCTTGAGCAACTCACCTCACGTTTCTGGAGCTTGAGGTTGAGGTCGTTCATGACTGCGAGCATGTCGGCCAGGTAGAAGAGGCAGAACTGAAACTTATACGAGGTCACAACTTCATTCAGGGGATGCTCATACTCATACAGCAGCACAATCGCGGCACCCAAGACCTTACACAGGCGTCGGATGGCCTCACCCCTGTACAGCCATCGAACTTGATGGATGCCTTGCACCTCCAAGTTCGTGCTGTCAATCGCGCGCTGGAGGTACTTGAAGCGTCCGCTCCAGACGCTCGACCGGCCGAGAAGGTCCGCAAGGGTGCGAATAACCTTATCAACCATGTCGAGGTCTGGACATGAGGCGGCAGCATCCTTCACAGCTAGGGCGTCCCTGCAGGTATACACAAGGACGTTGGTTAGCGCACGGACACAAATCCCGAGAACAAAGCTGTGCACAATAGTACCACAAACCTATGGGCAATGCAGTGTGAGGAAACGAGGTGCAAGATGATGTCACGCAGGCGCGTGACAAGGCCGTTGTCACGACCGACCATCACTGACGCTCAGTCAGTGCTGATGCCGACGATGCATTGAAGATCGATGCCGGACGACTCCAGGTGCAGTAGGAGAATGGACATAATAGAAGTTGCCTCGCACTTGTCCACTATTAGCAGAGCGAGGAATTCCGTAACGACTCGACGCAAACGCATGAAGGTGACATAGACAATCAAGTGCTTCCCTCGCGTGCGGTATGTGCTCTTGTCGCATGAGATGCCAAGGTAGGGTGAGCTCTTGATGTGCTCCATCTGATTTGCCAGCAGATGTGTTGACAGGCAGTTGACTATCTGCTGGAACCCATACCTACAGAGGCATGATGACGGACAGTCACTCGTTAGAATACTTTTTATTATCTTACGTCAACATATGGGAAACAACAGAATTCAATAGATGCTGAGCGATAACATTGTAACCTCACCTAGTCAGATACACTCCCTACAACTATAGAGGAATGTCAGGCGTGTCTTGCTCTGCCATGAAACGGAGCAGCCGTGGAAACATGGCGATAGGAGCATCGCTCTTGCAAAGAAATTCGATGCACCGCAAGAAACGGATGACGCGACGACCCTCGACGTCTTCGGTGGCGAAACTCGTTATCTTGTGCTGCTTGTCGTCGATGCCTTGTTGTATCTCCAGCTGTCGGCGAACCGCGTCTTCATGGACCGTAGAGTGTTCGTGGATGCGCATTATCTGGGTCTGGAGATCTCGTCCGCCTGCGCCTGGGCTTGAGTACTTTGTCGTCTCCTTGCCGAAATCTCGGCAAACACTGCACTTAAGGGCGGTGTACCCATCCTTAGTACGGGTAAGTATCAGCCACGGGAAGGTAGCGAAGCCAATAATTCTTGTACTTAGCTTCAGCGATCAGGTACTTCTGCTTGATTATCCCCTTTGTACTTAGCTTCGGTGGCGGTGGTTCATCAGGGCGCTTGATAGGGGGAGGCGAGCGCGGTGGTGAAGGGGGGCGAATTTGGCCACCAAGGTTAATCCGCTGCTGCGTGTACTTCGTCGTGTGCTGTTTCTTCGCCGAAGACACAGTAGACACGCACGGAACGCTGTACCGAACGGTTGATACGGTGGCGTAGTCGACACGATCTTTTACAGGCCCTCTGCTAGAAGATGCTACGGCCGGTGGGAGAACGTAGGGAGTGGAGGTAGGACTACATGGCAACGGTGGCTCGACGCGCGGTGGTTTGTCAAATGCAGTTGGGGCGACCGATGGGGGAGGAACAGGTGCGGCGATGGGCCGCAAGAAATCTAAGCCTCTCCTAGGCACTACGGCAGGCTCCTTCCAACTGTACGGCTCATCACCGTCAGCAGGAGCGTCGTCGGCGCCACCTGTCTCAGGCATGGTGAGAGGTGAAAAAATGGGGGGAAACCAAACGCTGCGACTCGCGTGTGAGACAGAGAATGAGGAGATGAAAGGACTCCTCCTATAAAATATGAAGCAGTGCGTTTTAGACAGATGAGTAAGGAACGATGGGAGAAGAAGGGAGACATCACACCCGTGTCGCACCTTTCATGAAAGGTGCTACACGGTCTTCAAGACTATCCTTGCACAACCCAACACCATGCAGCCATCGACGTGTTGGCTGCATTTGCAGCCAATCGGGTAGTTGCCCAACCTCTGGAAGGCTGGCAGATAGGCCTGGGGCACGCGTTTCACGCATGCACAGAGAGCGTCAGAGCAGAATCTGCGGTCCTTAGAGGTTTGGCATGGTAGCATTATGCCGCGCTACGTGGGAAAGTGCCCACTGTGGGCAGAGTACACGTTGGACTTGGTGGGATTTCCTGCAGAGTGTGGATTCTGCACGTGACGCGGGCGGGAAGCACTATTGGGGGGCAAAATTTTGGGGGAACCTGCGGACCCCAGGGAAGTCGGTTTCAGAATCCGTACGCGCTGCACTCTGGAAACTCAGTACTGGCTTAGCGTCAGGTCTGAATGGTTAAGGATCCCCAAAACCTAACCCTGAATAAATCGGTCTGAGATGCCAGACTAATCAGTATAAATAGTCTGATAAATTCACCCCTGGCTAGAACACAAGCCACAAGGCCAGTCAGGAGAATAGAAAAGGAGTAGTACACAATCAAGGTCCTCGCAAGTGAGGAGCTACTGGAACTAGACCAAGCTGTCAGGCCCCCAAATTGGTTTTGGGGTTGTCTGATTCATCAGACTTGTCTGCTATCCCTTGGTATGGCCATCAGAGTTGCCCCTAAAAAAATAATATCGGGAAAATCAGAGTAACAAAAGATTTTTGTCTAACCAATCAGAGTCACTATGCTTTCAAGCGCTGACTTTAAAGTCGTTGTCATATGTCATTCAATGTCCTCCACCCAGGCTCATCTACCAATATGATAAAATTTGAAATATAATTCAAAATTGAAAGATGATGACAAGTCGTATGAAGGGGTATGCAATAAGTAGCCATTCACTCCTTGTGGCAGGTCCACAGACCGGCCACCTAGTCCATTCATTTCTCGATCTCAATCTAGAATAGCACACGATTAGTAGTGATCCGATTACGCGACCTAGTCGGCTCCTTCGCCTACAATGGTTGCTCCTGCACGTAACACGATCGTTGCCGCTGCTTATGCGCAGGGCGAGATTATAGTCGCGGCTGCAAAAAATTCCGCATCCACAGCGACATGATTTACGTTGCTGGTCTGGAATTTCTGCCGAGCGCTTTTGCATCTACAAATGATGAGATGAGATTGTCGGCATTGCTGATGCAAGGGTCGAAATCTTTTTTCACCCCGCCGCTTCTTCGCTGATGAGTTCCTCACTGTCACTGTTGCTGTTGTGAGGGACGAGCTCTTGTTGTCGTTGCTGCTGCGAGTGACGATATCATTTTCTTAGCTGTAGGTTCCGCTGCCACGAGTGATGAGAATCCATTGCTACAAGTGCCGAGATTCTGCGGGACGAGATTCCCCTGCTGCAAGTGACGAGATTCAGCTGGTGCAAGTGACGAGATTCTGCTCTGGGCGAAATTTTTGCTGTTGCGGCTGAAGAGATTTCTGCTGGCCGCTCCCGTGCATTGTGAGAACGTCTTCGCTGTTGCTATGCATGGGGGGCCGTCGCTGCTGCTGCCTTGAGTGACGAGTATTCACAGAAAGCTGCTGCTGCGGGTACAAGTGAGAAGATGATAACATCGCCATGGCTGCTGCAACCAGTGAGGAGATTGCCACTGCTGCTCTGTTGCTACCAGTGATGTTATCTCATAGCCGCACCTGCTATGAGTGTCTCAATTTCTATGGTTGCTGCTGCCACTGTGCATATAGAGACCACCGCTGCTGCATGCCACTGCTTGAGTGTCACGGATGGCAGCACTATTACCGCGTACGATGAGATCGCGCTGCTGCAGTTTTTACTTGGTCAAACCCGCAATAGTTGCCGCTGAAGCAGGGCGTTTACACCCTAAATCTTGTTAGAATCAATCATGATTGTCCGGCCAGCTGCGTTTGTTTTTTTCGGAATGTGATTGTACGTGACCCCCAGGGGAACCGACCGCCAGGGGTATTTCCCGAGCCCCCGAAGAAGTAGGGGTGTATTATAGAGTGACAAGTGTTTGGTCCCACGTGGAGGGGAACCAGTGAGGAGTTAAAAATACAAAAAATTACAGTGGAAGGGATCGCAACAGCCAGAAAGACCCGCGCACTATAGCGAACCCTCAACTCTCGACAAAATGAAATAGAATGTTCTGAATGGAGGGTTCACGCGACCAGGAGCTTATGGAATCAGCAGCTCAACCCGTTAAGGTCTGTGGTTTTTCCCACACTAAGCCATATTTGGTCCAGGGCAATGTGAAATTTCACTTCTCCATGTGATACGATGCCGATCTTGGCAATGACTGTATCCGTTTTTTATGCTACGTGATTTGAGACAAACGAGATTTAAGGTGTAGATTGCAAATGCCCCCTAGATGCATGCGGCATGAATGCCTAAGATACAGCTAATGCTGCCGGGGGGGAAGGCCCCACGATCATAGCTGTTTGTAGCAGCTATATCGCCAACAAAGGGGGCACTGATTGCAATTAGGTTTCGCGTGGGTTGCGACATGTTTGTGGTCCAGGGGGTTTCTCCCAGTTTGGCGAGTGGCTTTCCAGTATGGCATCGCCTTGGAAGCCACTCGCTTGCTTGTTTGAAGGCAGCAAGTGGTTTTCCTGACGCAGGGTTTGTCGAAACATTTCACGACATGCGTGAGTCTGTGTTCTATTGACTCCTCAGGAACTGGAGCTGAGAGCATGTGATCTACTGGCAGAGGTGTGGGCTGTGCGGAGGATAGCTGAAGACCGAACCTCTGAAGGACCTGGCGCACCAAGTGTGACTGTGTCAGAGTGATGGTGCGCGCTGCTCTGTCCCTGGAGAACTGCAGGCCAAGGTAGCAGTGCAGCTCTCCTAGGTTAGTGCAGGCGTGTCTCCTCAGCAGCTCAGCCTTCACGGAGGCCAGCGCGTCTCCGTGTGCAGTAGCAAAGACCAGGTCGCCTACGTAGACAAGGATGTAGAACGGAGTCTGGCCAGCACGAACGAAGAGCGAGGTGTCTGCAGAGGGCAGAAAGAACTGCAGGTCAGCTAGCATAGCACGCAGTGTGTCGTGCCACTCACAGGGCGCCTGTTGCAGGTCGTAGACTGGGCGCCGAAGGAGCCACTGGGTCCCAGGAGGGAAGGTACCAGTAAAGCTCTGAGGACGGCGCAGGTAGACCTGCTCGTGTAGGCTGCCCTGAAGAAACGCAGTGGAGAAGTCAAGGGAGTGTAACTCGTAGTCACGCTGTGCTGCTACGTGTAGCAGTGCCCGAAGAGTAATCTTCGGGGTCAGGGCGAAGGTCTGAAAGAAGTCCACCCTCTCATGCTGACTTAAGCCTCTAGCCACGTAGCACGCCTTGAACACATGCGGCTCTCCAATGGGGCGCTTCACCTTGAAGAGCCACCGGCCATCGACTACGTTCACCCCAAGTAGGGGAACTGCGTCGACGTAGGTGCCAGTGGATCTCCAAGATGCCATCTCCTGCTCCATGGCCGCTATCCACTGAGAGGCCGAGGGTCCCGAGGTCGCCTCAGCGTAAGTGTGAGGGGTCAGGATGTCAAAGGCGTCAGGGTCACCCTCAGGGACTAGCAGCATGGAGCAGAGATGGGGAGCAGCCTCTGACAGGAAAGCAAGCTCGAACTGCCTGTCCTCTAGGACATCACTGCCAAGGGCAGACACACCCCCAACAGACGGAGGACAGACAAGGTCAGAGACCAGAGCGGTGGCGTAGTCAAGGTGGCAGGTAGAGGCGAAGTCAGCGACAACAGCAACAAGAGCGTCAAGACTGGAGACAGGAACTGACGGGTCGGTAACGAGGGAGGCAAGGACCTGAGGAACGAGAGGACTAGCGGCATGAAGGAAGTCAGACAGAGGAGGCGGAGCGACAACAAGCGAGGACGGAGGAGGCGACGGGAGGAGGGGAGGACGAGACGCGTGGGAACGGAGGAACATAGGGTGAGAGCGCTGAACAGGAGAGACAAAACAGGCACGAGAGGGACGGCGAGACCAGAAGTGGGACGGAGGCGTGGGGTCAGGAGACACAGGAGGAGACATAGGAGGAGAACATGGGGGGAAACGAGCCGAAGACGAGTCCGGCAGCGGAAAAAAGTGGCCGTAGACAGGCGGGGGAGGCGGCTGCAGGGGAGGCGCCAGTGGGTGGTAAGGGGAGGGAAGACCAAGGAGGCGAAGGGCAGACACCGGCGGCGACTGCTGCTGCAGCTGCTGCTCCAAGCCGACACCAGAACCTCCAGCTGCACAACTGCTGCCTCCACGACTCTCTACACCAACACCCTCAGAACGAGAATCCCCTCTAGAACCGATGCCAACCCTAGGACTACCACCCCCAGGACCAGCACCCCCAGAACGAGAACCCTCCCGAGCACTGGTGCCACCCCCAGGACCACCGGGACAGGCCACGACAGTAACCCCAGGACTAGCACCCTGCTCAACACCCGCACCGCAAGAGCTGGCGGACCCCTGCGGCGGCTGCTACTGTGGCTGTGACGGCGGCGACGGCTGCAACAGCTGCTGCTTTGGCGACGTCGAACGAGGAGACACCGGGGCAGAGACAGGCAGCGAGAACGATGCCACAGGGCCACCAGACTCAGTTGACTCCTTGACCGGGACAACTAACAGAAGGGGAGTGACGTGAGACACACTAGAAGGGGCGGGACGGGGAGGGAGAGGAGCAGGGGCTACCGGGGGAGTGGGAACCAGAAACAGGGGTGGGGAAATCGGGAGACCGCGGTGGGGAAAGCGGTGGTAGAAGGAGACAAACTCATCAAAAGTGACGTCATGCGATTGAAAGAAGCGGTGGGATGGCGGGTGGTAAAAGTGCCAGTCAGACGCGTCGAG